TGCAGTGAAGATAGAGCAACCCATTCAGCCACATGGGAACCAACAGGGACCAGTGCTTCATCCAGTTGGAGGCTGTCTTAGCAGCAATGATGCACACCAAAGGTGAAAGCACCAAGACTCTTCCGCCCTTTCACCTGAAATTGGTGTAGAAACAAATCACCCCTGCACAGCTTGATGTTACATGTTCAGTGGCCAGTGAAGGCTCATGTTGAACGGGCAACGACAATGTGTTTTCAATTGCCAAGGAAAGGCTCAATTTCACTTGCCAGCCAAGGCTCATGTTCAAAAGCAAACATGTTTTGAGTTTTTCAGTGAAAAGCGCACCCAGATTTTTGTGCAGTTTCTTGCAACAAGCAATTTGAAATCATTTATATATGCTGATTTTGAAATTATGTTGACAATTTTTACAGAAAAAATGTCAACAAAATCCTGTTGAAAAGTGGTCTTAAGGGTATACCATTAGAGACGTTAGCTAACCCTTGTAAAGCCTTATAGTGGCACTAGCTAATGCCTGTAACCCTAATAACACACTAGTAATGACCAGGCCCATCTAAGTGAGGCGATCACCAACCAAATCGTCCGCTGCCATGTCAGCCGCTTCCTCAAGCGCTTCTTGCACCCATAGTGCAATTTCAGCATCACACCCATCGATGACATCAGTCTGCTCCTGGGTGGTCGGAGGAGATTCGGCTGGCCTTCCGGCAAGCATTCCATTCAGCTTATGCCGGACCTCGCTGATCGTAGGATATGCGAACAGGTCCTTGGTGATGAACTCGTTGAAGAGAGCATCGCCCTCTGGCAGCACTGCGACAGGCTCCATCTGCGGCTTCGCCTCCAGGTACCTGAGAAAACTGTGATGGTACCCGATTGCTGCGGTCCACCATGTCGAAGCGGCCGTCTTTGAGGCGTCGGAGTCGTCCATGTGGACACCATCATATCTCCGGGCCGCTATGTTCATGCAGGTTGGATCCAGAGACATGATCCGGTGGCGATGGAATGCCTCATAGTACCACGCAGTCATTTCGCGGGTATACTGATCTACAAGGTTGTAGTCAGCAGCGTCCGCATTGCCGACTAGGACAAGGTCCCAGACGCCTGCACCGTTCTTTAGAGCGGGCAAGGCATCAATCGCTGCTTGTACCCGGGCCTTCTGATTCAATGGCCAGTCGGCAGCGACCTTCCGGTCGGCTTCGGTTTTCAGGAAACGAGCCTGATGGATCCAAACCTACTTTCACCTCAGTGGGTGTTTTCGTGGGACTGGGTGTTTTGGCCTTCTGGCTGGCCTTCGGAGCCTTTTGCTAGCATTGTCCGCTACCATCATTGCACATAATGGTCACGTGTCAAGCAAGAATGTCCAGCAAGAGTCCACACACACACTGGGGCCTCTGGGCTTGCAGCGTAAAATTTAAAGCAACCTTATTAGCCACGAAAGGGCCTTCTTCTTGGGTTCGCTGTTGGCAGCAGCAACATTGTTGCTGTATCAACCAGGACTTGCGCACAAGCTTGCATTTCGTGCCACTTATGGCTGTTCATGACAGGTATGTATAACCTACGTCCAAGAAAACTCATGGCCCAGGGGAACCGTTTTCGTTTTGAAACATCATACCCCCCACCCAAAACACGAACCACAAAACCAGTCACAGTTTCTGGACTCCTTTTCTGCCTGGGATATGGGAAGCGTGCTGCTTCGGTTGCCTTCATTGGGACCTGCCGCCATGTCCAGAGCCTGGGGCCCCCAAACTGACGTAAAAACGATGCACTTCCGTGAGCATTCATGTGAAGTAATAGCGTGGGCGTGGGATGTAAACATAGTCACAAAATCACGTGGTCGTGCTTCCGTCAGACTGTGGGCTCTGAGCCCAACTCTGAGACTGCCACAGGGATACTTTCGAAGTGGCACTGAAAACACTAGCGGCGTGTCTTGTATAAGTATCGCCTGTCAAAAAGCCCACTAACGCCACCTCCGCTGCGTGGTCTTTGAGTGACCGGAAACATGCAAAGGTCTCGCTGCGTGGTCCTTGAGTGACCCTCATCTCATTTCATTCAAAGCTGACGCGCTCAGCCTGACGAACCTTTGAGTGACGCGAGACGTTTGAATCTGGTCTCATTTCGCTCAAAGCAGCCGCACCCTAAACGCACTCAGCACAGCGCACCTCTGAGTGACCGGGCGTGCACTTGCACAAATGCTCTTCGCTGCCTCCTTTCACTCAAAGATGCGCTCCCTACACGCACTCAGCAAACAGAACCTTTGAGCGATGCGAGACCTTTGAACTACATTTGCGCAGGACGCGCAAAATATATAATTAGTCCTGGTCTCATTTCACTTGAAGACGCGGGCCCCTACACGCACTCACAAGGAGACGTTTGAGGAGCACGAATAAACCAGGCTTGCAAGCTGCAAGTACGTGAGAGCTCTCTCTCTCTCTCCCCGTCTCTCTCTCTCTCTCTCTCTATCTATATCTATTTCCCTCTTGCCTACATGACACGTCGCGCCTGTGTGTTATGAATGCTGTATGTACATACAGCGTTGTACAATAGATCAGTGAACAAGTGTGGTGAGTCCGTTGTGTTTCAGGTACTGTAGGTCAGGCCAAATAAGTTTGCATACAGAGGTCGAAAGGGTTTCCATTTCCGTGCGGTATACGTGTCCAAGCCCCTTTAAAGCAGATATATTTATACACAGTCCTGAAACATCCTGAAGCTGATCTTCATTGGGATTCGTTTTCTAGTTTAAGTTATTCTCAAATCAGCTCACTGCAAGCCTGGTTTGCCAATCTAATTAGGTCAGCTTTCAAGAGCCCGACCTGGCAGCCGTTGCACAAAGGAAAAACACAGTCAACAAGTTTCTTGAAAACCAAATAGCTTATCTCAGAATCATCAAACATTCTGAAGTTCAGGCGGGCGTTTCGTTGTTTTTTTTAAACTTCCGCGCGCGATCTTGAACTCAAGGGTCAGGATCGGTGTACCCTGCTGCCCGAGCTGACCTCAAGGACTTGTGTTTCTCACCTGTAGGCAAATGAGTGAAGATACGCCAAGGCTGCCCAGCCATTGCCCCTGTCTTTCGCAGAAAGGTCTTAACCTGCAGGACAAGGAAAACTACAAGAAAACTAACAAGAAGACGTTCAACTCCGAACAAAACAAGCACCGACCAAAAGCAAGGACAAGAAGAAGAGCAAGTAGAACAAACAGCAGCAGCAGCAGCAGCAGCAACCGCTGTCACAGCAAAACAAACAGGCCAAATCACAAGAGCAGCAACAGTGCTCACCCCCTCAGCATTTTAAGGGGCCAAGAGTATGACTAGTCAAGTCCATGAAACAGATCACCAATCACCCAGCCTCCCAATCATCATGTTGGACAATCACAGGCTGCTCTCCGGACTCTGCTGGCTCCACCAACTCTGGAGGATCGCGCTTGGTCGCAGGCTTCTTCCGACAGGAAGGTCCAGGCTCTGAGTCTGCTGGCTTCACCGACTCTGAGTCTGGAGGATCGCGCTTGGTCGCAGGCTTCTTCTGAGGGGAAGGTTCAGCTGGCAGACTTGCAGCGGAAGGTCGCTTTTTGACTGCCGGCCCTGAGCCTGAGCTGGGCCTTTTCATGGGAGAGGGAGAGCCTTCCTGAGATCCACCGGCTTCGCTGGCAAGGAACATCGCTGAGTCTTGAGAATTTTGTTTTTGCGGAGGGGCAGCGGCAGCGCTGCTGCTGCTGTTGCCTACCACAGCCATAGCCGCAGCGACATTGGAGGCGTTGTCAGCCTTGGGCAGCGCAGCGCCAACCTTGTCCTCCGCGCTGCTCGCTCTATTCGGACGTGTGCTGTGGGGTGTAAGGAGACTGACTGTGTCCTCGAAGGCCACTTCCAAGCGAGGGAGTTCAAGCGCTTTCTCAACACCCAGATGTCCAGAGATGATTTCTCCAAGCTTTTGCAGCCCTTTTGACTCAACACCACCTTCACCAGGCTTCCCGGCTTGAGCATGAGCCTTGTCGCCAACTGGAGGTTTGCCTTCGGGAGGCTCAGCAAACATCAATGCTTGAGCATGAGCTTGCCTTTGGGAGGTTCAGCATTGTCGCCTTTGGGAGGCTCAAAGGTTTCAGGAGCTTCACGCTGAACTTGGCCAAGCTCTTCGCCCGTTTCTGGCATCTTCCAGCAAACGGCTCATGAGACGGTCTTTCCCGTCTCTTTCATTCGGCGCATTGAAAGGCTCAGTGCTGCTGTTTGGAGTCGGGGAAGGCATCCATCCGCCCCAAACACGGTCAGGAGTGACCTGAGCCGAATCCTGGAAACTCTGCGGAGGAGGTTCTGCGTCCGCGAAGTCCTCATCAATCTTTTTGAGGACATCGGATTTCACAGCATCTCTAAGGCCGCTCGCGGCCATGGGACCAAAAAAGAGAAAGCAGTCCGAAAAAAGGCTCAAAAAACAGGGATTCACGGAACGGAACCTGAGAAAAAGAGGGCTGCATATAAGAGCTCTTAATGCCGCTCCACAAGGCTGAACGGCCACTCACCACATCACGGAACCAAAGCAAGCGCCCACATCCATTTCCCCGTTCCTTCAAACTTTGCCAGTGTTTGGTGTCCTCTACGAATCTATGCCGATTCTAAGAGCAAACCCCAAAAGGCCCTAAATGGCCCAAAATGAATCTACGAGCAACGCTCACAATGCCGCGTCATAAGCAAGTATTTGTGCAGACCAACCTTTATGGTTGGGACCATCTTCACAGAGCCAGCCTCAGGTCCTTCATCTGGCCTCAGCAGCCGGGGCGAACACTAACCGACCACTCCTGGTGACTGGCTGTTTCTACCGTTTTCCGTCACATCACCCATCATCCTTCTATCTTTTGCGAATTGAATTTTAAAGAATTGGGTTCCCCTACCCCAAGTTTACAAAATTAGAAACGTCAACAAGAAACCAAATGTCAACGCAATACCAAAGTTATTATCTCAATCGTTGGGCCATAAGCTCCCTCCAACCAAACATCACATAAAGCTGCAGGGTTAATATGGACCGAAGTGCACAATTTTCGTCAGGCAAAACTTGGGAGGGTCCTTCATCTCAATGTCAGGGTCATGGAGGACCATCAAAACGTCGCTTTGCACTTCGATTTCTTCACTGCATGCGCAGGACTCCGTGAAGTGTTTGCCCGTCAACTTTTCCACCCAGTTTGGCTCTGCCAAGGCCATGTAGTTTTCAAAGAGGATCCTGAAACCACTACTACCAAAAAAGCACGCCGACAGCAGAGCATTGAGCATTTGCGATGAAAGCGCTCATTGCTAGAAATTCAACCTTGCGTATGATGATATTACTGTATCATTGGATTTGAAAAGTGTTCACATCAAAGCAGTCTAGGAACCCATTCTCCCGAGGTCGGTCTGGTGGCCCCTGGAGGATAACAGCTTCCTTGTCAATTGCGCCCACATAGCAATGGGTGCACTGTGTCCACGACAAAATCAACGTGTCAGGCTGTTACATCTTGGGCAAGATAGCGTCGCGAATCTCCTCTGTGGTCGGCTCACGAAGCTCTTCATGCTCAGAAAGGTCCTCCTCGAAGCGGACACGAGAAAAGCGCATCAGTGTCATGGCCAACGAGTAGACTCAACTGCTGAAGGTCGCCGGTCTGCGCTCTCCAAGATCCCTGTGTGATCCAAACATGCCAAAATGCCTTGTCAATGACAAACAGTCTGAAACTCCAAAGACTCACAAAACCAAACAGCAAGTCAGAGACTGCATTGCTGGACGCGCCACACGCGTGTATCACACTCAATGCAAAAGCACATCACGCGCGTTTTGAAATTTCCACACATGTGCTGATTGAAACCATCGCTGGAAGCGCCAACCCTTATAACCTTATACGATCAATGTCAAACAGAGCCGCAACAGAATCATAACAACCCTTGGACTTCTACTGGGCCACTTCTATTTAAAGCGCCTACTGCGCTACAAAGCCTCCACTCAGCTACAGTTCCATAGGTTTGGCCGCTTCCAACTGCACAGGGACCCTTGTGACCACGTAAGGTTTTTGGACCTTGGTCACGTGGTGGACTCTGTCGAACCGCCATCTAAAAATGGGCATCAGCGCTGCCGAGTTCTTGCAAACCACATAGGCATCGTGAAAAAATGACTTGCACGTCAAGGGCTTGCTTGGGTCCAGCATGGTGCGGTAAAGGTGTGAATTCTTTGGCGTGATCTCGAAGGAGTCTTGGGCGCGACTCTGAACCCGGCCGACGTCTGCATAGCTAATCTGATAGCTAGTGACGCGTTTCTGGCGTTCCAGCATCACCAAGTAGCGGTAGAGAGTCATGGTTTCTATTCCACTTTGCTCTGGCGTGACTGACTGAAGGTCCACCTGGAGCAATGTTCTGTCTCCCTCGCTCCAATCAAAAGCCACGAACTTCCCCTCCATCGATGTGTCCAATTCAGCTGCTGGCACATACCTGTATTTCGCTTCAAAAAAGAAGTCCATAAAAGCCTACTGACAAATTTTCACCAGGAACAAACATTCAACATGAGTGAGGGTGGACATGGAACCACAACAACAAGTGAGATGAAGCTGCAATCACCCAAGACTGGCTGTACGCCAAAGGAAGTTTGATGACATGAAGAATGGATGGCAACCTTGTGGTCGCAAGACTTGAAATACATAAGCGGTCATGTCGCGCGACCAATCGCAAAGAAACCTCAAGCAATGTGTTTTCCTTGCAATTTTTCTGGCCAAAGTGCTTGCCAGTCCCGAAGCCACCCAGCAATTGATGCTTGGCAAGGATGCGTGACTTGTCACTCATCACATAGATCTTGCCAGACGACCCCTTCAACAGCTCGACGCCTGCAATCTCACTGGCACAGCGAACCTGGATGGAATCTGCACTGTTCAGAGCTTCAAAGGATGCAAATGACTTGAGCTCGGGCCCCTGTTCAGATTCCTGAGCCGGCGCTTGCTGTGGACGGTCACCACCCTCCGCTTGGGGGCTCTGACTCTGGTCGTCGGTTGGAACGATCGCGCCGCTGGACCGAACAATGCTTTGCAACAAGCCCTGGAATTTGCTCTCATGAGACTTCTGCAAGGACGCAAACCTGGGCGCTGCATGGCGTCAACATTTAAGCAAAAACCATCTAGGGTGGAGAACGCACGCCCAAAAATAAAGTAGGTGGGCGAATGACATCAAGGAACTGACGGCCATACTCACCACCAGCCTCCGTCCACTGCTTCACATGGTCAGGGTGAACCTTGAACTGATCGTTGCACCGCACCAGCACCTGCAAGCCCATGGAGTCCAAAGATTCCAAATACTGATGGCAATCGATGCTGTCCTTCTCCTAAGCCCGTGCAGCAAAGACCAAAACACAACCAATGAATGGTTTTGGTTCTACCTGGGACAAACTCTTTGCGACAACTCTTTGAGAAGCCGGCCGCTCCGGTCTAAACTTGCAGGCTAGTCTCGGTTTGGCTCAACAGCAACTCACGATCATCAAACTGCAGCCCGGCATAGCTCAGTTTCTTGTCGATCCAAAGGTCGATCAACTCCCTGCAGATGCGAGCCTTGCCATACTTGACGTTCTCAGGGTTGTCGAGGGTGTGCGGCGACATGTAGTACAGCTTCTTCAGGTTCACGCCGCCCTCCCCGTTCATCGTCTCTTTGACGCGAAGGTTGATGGCCTGTAGTTGCAATTTCATTATGACTGCTTCTTGGGCGCGATCTCACGCAGCGCTATTTTTTCCTTGCAAAATGAAACCAAACTAACTGGTAGGGGGGTTCTGGGGTCCTTGTCTACGTAGCAGTGAGGCAACAACACTGGACCCTGAAATTCGATGAGAAGGCCCCCCCCCCTTCCTCACACCCTCCCCCCTTTTTGCCAAAACGAGCCACTGCAACACCAAGCTCCTCGACATAGCCGGTCAAATTGATGACCAATGCTGCAGAAACCCCTGTGTGCCTCAAGGCCGCTTCCAGCAGCATCTCTATACCTCTTTGAGCCCTTTTGCGCAGCCAGTTGTTCGTTGCTTGGCCGGAGGCGGTCTTGGATTCGCACTGAATCCTGGGAAAGGACGGGCGTGCAGCAACAGGCATCGTGCCGTATGCAACTTACAGCAGGAAAGGTACAGTGATTTGGGATTGAAGCTAGAAAAGACTAAGTCTCACCGAAGCAAGATCCCAATACTAAAGCAGTTCACCGAATCCAAAGCAAGATTCCAGCAGCCAAACAATTCTAGCAAGTGTAGTGTAGTATTAAAAACAAGACCTATATATAGCAGCACCTCTAGAAAACCATACCTGCAAGCTGCAGATCTAAATTTGCTCTCTGTTTGGGCTTTCCCAACGGAACCCCTCAAGTCTGGGAAGGTTGAGCCTTTTTTCCAAGTTTCGTGCCATCTTTTCTTGCACTTGGTGGGGTCCGTTGGGTGGGCTGGCGCAAAGTGGAAAATTCACAGCTGCAGATTACTTGTGGCATACATACAAAATGTAGCCTTTAGCATACATACCAGGCCACTGCAGCTTTATTTTGGAAAGAAAATAAAACCCTTCCCGACACTCCCAGGAAAATGTCAAACAAAACTGACATCAACCTAAACGAAGCTTCTGGCGAGGCGGGTTCTGGAATCAATATCGTTGATGTTCGTGGCAAAATGGCAGTTGGAGCCCCCTCAGTCGATTCGTTGGATCCAACGGCACGCCCGTAGACCGATAACTCTGAATTGAGCCACTTGTTATCTTCAATCTTTTGGCTCGATGTGATGACTCTGCCCAAACCAAATCGGCGAGCATTCGATCGCTGATCTGCGCGGCGGGACTCCCTGGCATAGACTTCCACCCAGCGGCATTCGCAGTTCTGGCACAGCGAGTACAATTCCTCGAACAGCTGTTTCTCTTCGTCGAACAGCCCCCGAATGCTGCTGCCACGGGCGTAATCCGGAAGAATCAGGATGCTGGCGCACAGTGCTGGGTCGATCTCGTTAATGGTAGCAATGCCTTTGCACAAGGCTTGGCAGGCCTCTTTGTTCCGGGCATGGGGCGCATTCATGTCAACCCACCCCAGGAGAGCCACTTCGTCAGCACTGATCTTTGCATCGGCAGCCTAACTCAACTACCCAAAAAGGAATCTTAATCATGAATACTATTCTTGCCATTAAGTCAAACTCGAGAGAAACGGTTGACAGGCTGTTTGATGCGAAGCGCTTGCTAAGTGAAAGACCTTCGCATACGCTTCCTGCAAAGGTTGTGAAGGAACATATCTATATATATATAGCTTTGCCCTGCGGAACGAAAATCATGTGGAAGAACCCAAAAACAAAAAGACATCATTATGCACTGCACACTCCAAAGAATTGAAGACTGGGAATTTGAATACATTCTCCTGGTACACATTGGTTGCCTTCTGACCAGCATCTGCTTGAGCCTGTCGGTGGGCCACAGACTTTGCGTGCAAAGCAGCCTTGATCTTCATGGGCACAGCTTGAACTCGTGTGAGCAGGGCCTGGTCCGATCTGAGAGCTGAGTTGAACCATTTCCATTGGGCCTCGGTCACCGCCTCTTTCTGGACCGAAACAGCAGCATGGATGACAGACTGCTTCTCCAGCGCCAACCTCTCGGCCTCCAACTTCTTGCTTTTCAGCATGGAAAGGGCGACCTTCGTTGGCCTGACCTCCAACAAAGCCAAGAAGTCCTCGTTGAAAGAACTCCCATGGATGAAGTTGTTTTCCCACTTGATTGCTTCCTCCTCCGGGATCTTCTTCCTGAAGAAAGCGAATACACTGGAGAAGAGCACACAAAGGTTCCTGGTGCAGACGAGCTCTTCTGCATTCAGCCTGTACTTCTTCTTGTTCTGGACCGGAATCCCGGCAGTGCTTCGCGCATACATGGCCCGGACCTTCTGAAACAGGAGGAGCTGAGCTGCCGGTGTCATAGGAAGCTGCCAATCAACCTCGTGGCAACACAATCACACACACACACATACACAGCTGGTGCAATGATCAAATGTGAACCCTTCAACCTTGCAACCCACTGCGCTGAGTCATGATTTTTCTCAACTTCTTCAACCCTTAAGTCCTGCCGTCCCGAAACTGTTGGAGGACGTATCCAAATAAATACCTTCACAATTCTTAGGTTACACGTTATAGCCTCACATTACATCCTACGGCCGAAGGCAAAAAAATGAAATGTTATTATAAGTTATGGTTGAGAGATATAGTTATCTATTTTACAGGGTTCCATCCCGCTTTCCGACAGAGACCTCAAAAATGTCTTTTGCGAAGTAAGAGCGACTTCAAGAAAGGGCTCTCCAGTCATCGGGTGGTCTGTCTCATCCGTCTGAGGATTTGCATCCAAATTGGCTTTGGATTGGAGAAAGCAGATGTTGCAACACGCGAAAGCTTCGCCAAACGGACCCTGGCCAAATGCCATCTCGTTGCAACTCTTGGCGATTTCCTGAAAAGCCAACGGACAAGTGCGGTCCATGAAATTGCGCACACCTTGCTTCTTGCGGTTGTCTAGGGCGATCGTTCCTGATCCGGTCTCTGACCGGTCATGCGCAACAACATCCGGATGGGTGTTGTAGGCGCTCAGACACTCCTCGAACGATGAGCCCTCCTTCAGAACCACTTGCTTCAATATGCATGCCCAGCCATACGATGTAATAGGTTGGACCTTGGCATTGATGTTCTGCGCTACGATGCGTGACAGCAGTGACTCCAATGGAGTGGATCTTGTATCTGTAGCCTTGATCATGGTTGGGACACGCAGGAAGCTCGAAATCCAGCCCATGACAAGCGGGTTCTCGAAGCACTCTGCACCGTGCTTCCTCCATGTCAGCAGCAAAGCTAGCCACACCATAAAGGCGGCAAGCATCTTTTGTGAACCATCTCCAAACTTGAGGAGCGCCCACGCAATGCGATCAGGTGGAAGGTCTTCCGGCGGCCGCTCCGCGAATCTCGCCACCACCAGTTCGCTCTGCAGGGCGCCCCATTCAAGACCCTCGAAGTACAATTCTGTTTCGAAGCTGGCCCATCAGTGCCAATAGAAATTATATATTTCCCCCGCAAGTCCCCCGTGACCCCTCAGACCATGAGTTTCATCAAGCTATTGATGGGGGACTTGTGGAACTTTTTTTCATGGAAGAACGGTCCTATTCCCTTTTAGAGGACAACTGGTTCCTTATCTTCTGCGTGCTTCTTTGCCCTCAAAGGTTATAGGCTATAATAATACTCTCCCCTTTGTATATAATACTTTTGTACCAAGCCCTCCTTAATCACACCCGTTTTTTGTGTTGGTGCCACAGGGCCAGCGGTCGGGAAAGTTTAAAGTTAGCTAAAATTGTTGCGGCGCAGGGCAGGGGGTTAAGGGGCAAACACCATCAAGGAAATCCTGACTAGCGAGAAATCCTGACTGGCGAGAAATCCACTGGCCTGGCGACTGGCGAGAAATCCTGACTGGCGAGCTGCTCAACGAGCAGCTCACCAAACAGGATCAAAATGGAACACCCTGAAAGAAATCCAGACATGAAGAAGGCCCCAACAAAACATCCAGGAATGAAGACATGTGAAACGGTTACTTTGGTCGAGGGCCAAACACCTCTCCACAACCTGCAAATTAAAAACCTTTCTGGAAGGAGGGCCGCTCGATGAGCGGCTCTCCATGCCAAAAGGTAAGCTTTACTTAAAGGCAGTGTGGCCATGAGACATCATGGCATTGTAATGTGAGAAGGGGGTATGCAGCAGAAGGCTGTTACATCTTCGACTGGTGACCCGCTCACCGAGGGCCTCTCCTGTCCAGAGAGTTCTTGTGTGAACCTTGCCGGAGAGATATTTGGGCCTCGGGCCAACAAAATATTTTCAATTTCCTGGCTCACCTAGCCGTCACCGAGCCCTTCCGTTTGACCAAATCCTATGGTGAGCTGCTCGTTGAGCAGCTCACCAGCTGCGATTTCTCGCCAGACGGTATTTCTCGCCGGTCAAAAATTTCTCGCCATTCAAAATCCCGCCCTCCAACTTGACAACAGGAATTGTCCTCGTGGCGCAGCGATGCATGGGGATTGAATTGACAGCTGCAAAGCGGGCATTTGTTCACTCATAACCAGGGGGGGACCCCTTAGGGAAACTCTCGCGATTTTTTTTTGACTTTTTCAACTTTTCGAAAAATAATGGGTGTGTTTAGGGAATTTCTTTAGATTTCTGTTTTTCAGAGATCGCGAAAGGGAAGAACAGCGCCTCAAAATTTAATAGATTAAAACCATGACTTTCCGGTCGCCAAATAGCACCTCCTAAGTTTTGTTCGCGCGCGCCCCCCCCCAATAGAAACACGCCTCACGGAATCGTGTAAGCGCCATCGACTTGGCATAGCCAATGACCTCAGACATAGCCACGCCGTCCTTGCCCCTCCAAAAGCTGGAGTCATCAAAGCTCCATGCCAGAAGTGACGTTTGAAAGACTTCGCCAAACTCCGGAGGCCATTCCTGAAAGGAAGATTGAACATATTTGAAAGAGTATTGCGTTATTGGTCCCTGGTGTTATAAAGATAATCACCCATCAGTTCATCAAAACAACAAACATCCAGGAGAGGTTGAAAGGCTAAGGACTTACAGTAAAAGCGAAAGGTGTCACAAGGATCCTTCTGACACCTTTCGTTTTTTACATGATTTCAACTTCTCCTGGGTTAGATATGCCCTGATTGCGCGGCACAGTGTCAGACAATGTCAAAAACTGCTGTTTGAACTCCATCACATCGTTCGCTGTGAGAAGACCAGCTTGGTGAAGCATGGTTGTACTCTCGTTCAACAACCATTCGGAGCCATCACGCTGCGCGCGTTGCGCAATGGTAATGAAAGTGCCGCCGTCCAGAATGGGAAAGGGGCACTTGCCATGCTCATCAGGTAGCCATGGGGCAGTAGAATCTGAAACCACTGTCGCTGCATCTTCACCGACGTACTCGATAGTACTCGCTGAATCTGACAGGTGGGGAGTCTGCTGGAATCCACATCCCTCCCGCATACCTTGGATACATGTAGGCGACGAAACACACCCAACTGTTGAGCCTCCGGGATCGCAAAGACACCAACTCCCAGCCTAACAAGCTAACTGATGACAAAGTGTTGAACAAAGTCAAAAATACTGAACATGACTTCCAGGAGGTGGCACACATCCCTTTGTACGGGCGGCACTTGACACACGTTGCTTGCAGCAGGTGCATCAGCTGCAATGACGCTCGCAAGACCAGCACCACTGGTCGAACCCAGCCTGGCCTTCTTCCGAGGCGGCATGAGGCGCAAGGCAAACACCGACCACCCTGCTGGTCTGAGAAAGCAAAACCTTTCACACGCAATGAGACATTTACGGGGCGACTCGTTCACGGCAGGTTCAAGTTGACAACGATGCTTCAAGTTGAAGAGCCGAACACTTGCAAACTCTAAATGCATTTTGACCCCAGTACTGAGCTTCAATGGAATGTGTCCAAGAACACATCACGACAACTTGTGAATTTTAAGCAAAACGACAGAGGCCGTTCATGGCCTTTCAGGCTAAACCTCAAGTCAAAGCTTGCACAAAGCAACGGCAGTCAGAAAGCCGGAGAGGCAAATCGGCACACTAAACCTCAAAGCATCGCCGTCGAGCAAACGTTGTTCCCCAGGCACGGTTTCAACACATGATGATTGCGATCTAAAGGTTGGTTCATGGCAGAAGAACTCGAAAAATGGAATTTAAGTGCAACCGAAAAGCGAATTGCCAGCGAAGTCTGATAGCTGTGCATCAGTCAAAGCACTCATATTGTAACGGGCATACTCTCTAGGTCCGACCCCCTGAAAACGAGCCTTCTCCTGCCAAGCGTCGCTAAACATCACCAACGATTCGAACACAGCTGATTAGACTATTTTTTGTTTGTTATTAACTCAACACTCGCGCGCGCGCGTGTGTGTGTGTGTGTGCAAGCTTACACAGAATAAGGATGCTCCTTGGCACCCAAGAGAGTCCATCTGCAGGTCACGATGTACTTTGCTGAAGGAAGCAAGCACGGTAGCACGCAAGGCCTCTTCTTCGACCATGTGGATCGATCAAAATTCTGGTCCTGTAGTCACGCAGTCACAAATAGTATTTTGCATTCACAACAGTAACAGTTCAGTGCGTGAGGCCTTTGCGGTTGTCTGACTTTGTGGGTCGTTTGTCATTGCGCACTTTTGGAAAAGTACTAGCCTACAAATAATGTTCCCTTTGGTTGGGCTCCAATACGAACAAATGGTGTCATGTTCGACCCACTGTTCAACGCCATGCGTTTCCCCTAGCCAAGCGGCTAACTGAATCAGAAACCTTTGATTGAATGGATCCAGACCCTCTGCTTGCATCTCAGCGAGGGACACGGCCAGGAGAGAAAGCTCCCGCGGAGTCAAAGCGACCAAGCCCCTTGTGACAAGGGTCGCTTTCTGCAAGTTCAGCTTGACTGCATCCTCAAGTCTGAATGTCTTAGCGGGAATCGGCAACACCCCGCACACACTGTCAGACTAAAGCCAAAAGACCTCGCTAAGTGTGTTTTTGCTGCAATAAAGTCTACCTACTGTTGCTCCTGGGTCGTTTTTGCCTGGCATGTCAAAACTGACGCTACCAAGAAGCCATGCCCAGCAGTTCACACATTTCCTGGAATTTTTCTTTCCACTTTTCGCCAGAAGGTTTCGAGCACTTGTCTTTCCGAAGTTCATCCCCATCAGAAAGGAAATAGTCTAGCTTTATTGTCGGAGAGCACATCGCGCGCATCAACGGCTCTGCTGCAAGACCTGGCCTGCAGCGCCAACATTGCAACTTGCAACCGTCGAATATCATTGAAAACACGCGTTCAATCAAAACCATTGTAAGCAAAATCGCAAAACAAAGCTGCCTCAAAAAGTCCTTTCGAACGTAGAGGGCCCACGCCCTTGTTCTGCTTTGCGCCAAGCCGTACTCTGAGCTGTTGACGAGAAAACTGAACAGCTCGACAAACCCGCGTTCTTGGAACCAAGTGGATTGAATCTTGGTTGGCACCTCTCCCTTGAACTGGTGTCTCGTTTGCATCATTTGCCTCACGTTTTCCAGAAGGACAAAGCGGACTCCTGGAGCAGAGTCCAAGTAGTTCATGAGACCCCGGAATCCAGATCCAGTGGTGGATTTCTTATCCAAGAACGATTTTGGATCTGGGTTCTGGGCAGAGATTGAGCGGCATGGATACCCGCAGGCCAGCCCCTCTACCTGAGCAAGGACAATGACTATTGCCGAACAATCAACAAGGAACAAACGGCAATCATGAACGCACTGGCAAATGCAAGCGTCCACTGGCACTTTGACAACGTGTCCACTCACTGCGTCATGGGCTTGACCCTTGCCTAAATCCTGCAAATCGGTGAAAATGGCGCCAACAGCAGGAAAGGCCCTCTTGAGGTAGGCGATCTTCCACTCCACGCACTCACACATGAACTTTGTGACGAACTGCGCAAGAGGGCAAAAAAAGGTAAAAGCTGCGAAGCTCCCAAAACAACACCATCAAAGCGAGTGCAAAAAGCAAAAAGCTGTCAGTGACAAATAATGACTACCTAGAAGAACTCACAGACGACAAAACCAGCCTGCACACAAGAGGTCCCGTGAACTTCTCTCAACTTGTCATTCAGAGCGGACAGAACCATCTCTGCAACCCCCCACCCGCTGCACAGGCTTCCAACATTCAACTCACTCTTGCCAGACTCTCGTAGGCTTGCTTCGAAAGCAGTGATAAGGTCGGAACTGGAACCCTCGCTGAAAGCTAAGTCCACAAAGGTGTCGACCTAAGACAGCAAAAAGCAAATACAATCGTGAAATATAAGAGGCAACAAAAGGACACTCAGACTCGGCAACAAAAGGGCACTCAGACTCTGACACCAACACCATGTTCTTTCATGTGCTGGGGCGGACCAACTTGCACTGAACATGATCCCATCTCTTGTTCAGCCTCACAGTCGGAAGCCTCAAATCCCTCAGCCTCCATGGTCGCACTCCTAGGCGGATGGGCCATTTGGAAAGAAAAAATCCCTGAACAGCCACCAAGCAAGGCACCACTGTTCACATGGTCACACAGCAGAACATGACTGCAAGGAAGGTTAATGCCATTTGCATCAAAAGAATCCCTTGCACTGCAGCAGATTCATCGCCAGATTCGAAGAACATCTCAGGCTCAGCATCCTGTGGCGCCGGGCCACCAGCAGCATCATCTGCCCTGCACAATGAAAACAACGGAATGGCGAATTCGGAACAAACGAATTCTGGTCAACAGTTAGGACAAAAGGAATACGAACGACGCCCCAAAAATATTCCACAGCGAAGCTTGCCAGAGTGTGATTCACAAATTATATAGGTACAGAATGCTTTGAAGGTCCCAGCCCCCTATATAATATATATATATAAACACATCTGGTCTCAAAACTGACAGTTTGTTGCGCAATAGTTTTCACGATCGCTAGTCGTCCAAAGCAAGGTCAACTACTCCGTCCGCTTCGCCATCTGTTTCAGAGGCAGCTTCCTCCTCATCATTCTGACATTTCAAATCCAGGTGCATCTCCCTGCCGTGCTTGGCCCACACTATGCTGGGGCCCGGGTCGACCGTCTGAATCCGATTGGTCAAAAACCTGTAGGACGATGGTCTTGGTTTTTTCACCAAGGTTCCCCCGCACCAACCGGTAAGATATGCTGCAGCCTCCATGCTCAAGGAGCCTTGCTTCAAAAGAGAAGGAACCTTGCCGCGGATGTTCTTTACCACCCGATCTGAAATCGTTCGGCGGTCTGACACACCTGCGGGCTGCGCAAAGCTGCGGCGCAAAAGAAAGGCCTGGTCAGCGGTGAGGACTGTCGCTACCTTGTACGGTTCCGGATCGGCCATGTACCTTTTGGCCAGAAGCAAAACATCATCAGGCCCTGCTCTAGAACCGCGGATCTCCTGCACACTGCAACTTCCGTAAGATGCTGGAGACAAATCCTTCCGTAGCGCCAGCCGGATTTGCCCAACCTTTCCTCAATTGAAATCAAGTTGGTACAGGCATACACTTACAGGATTGCACGAGGGGAATCCGAGAAATGCAAAACAGCAACCCCCAAGAAACGATAACAAAACAGATTCAAAATCACTTAGAAGCGGAGCCCTTTGACTCGAACCCCGAGGACTGACACCCAGTCATGCCATTTGGCAACCTCGTCCAGTTTGTAGGCCTGAACCTCGACAGTGGGATCTCATTTCAAGCGTTTTCTCTCTCGACCACTTTCTGAATCTGGTCTTGTCGCACTGTCCAGCAAGTCTATCAACTGGTCAGGCGTGTCAAACTCACTGCGGCTGATCATGGAAGCCTGGACCGAGAAAATCTGGTCCAAGTCCTCGTGACCTTGAAAAAGCATGGAGCTGTCGTGGTCTCGCTATAAAACTGGTTGCTTTCAAAAACACACAAAGCGTGCCGTGGTATGTTTTTTTTGTTGTATTCAATATATTTCATGGGTTTAAGTTTCCAATCTCAAAGCAAGCTACTGCGCCCTACCCTGAGGTAGGACGCAGTCACCCACCTGAAAACGGATAGGCCCACCAAAATGATGTAGAGGGCGATGCAATGTCTGTTCTTGCCCTCCCTGTATGTGTTGTCACATTGAATGTTGAGGCCGGGTGGTAAGGCCTTGTGCAAGTCGTACACTTGGTCCAAACCTCGCGCAAGCTGCTCCATTTGCGCTGCAGCATCTTTCTTGGATGACTCGTCAGAGATAGACATGAGAATCTTGAAGCCATGTATCCAAGTTGCTGCGCAATGTAATTGTGGTCGGAACAACATGCTGTATTGCTTGCTATTTGCTTCTCTCCGCCTAGGGCATCTAAATTTGCCCTGGTCCATGCCGTCCATCATGACACAAAGGCAGTTGGTGGCAGCATCTAGTGCTGCATCGAGCCTTACATCAAGAAGCCGTCCGTTTCAAAACAAACCACTTGGGATCCAAACTTCATGACATTGCAGTAAAGAAACTCAGGGGCCACCTCTACCTGCCGCCGGCACCAGGCCTGGGACAAACTTCGCAGCGCCCAGTAAACCTGACGGTCCAACCACTGCGATAAAACGTGGGTCGTCCATGCCCGAACAGCAGACTCATCATCGCGGCCATTGTGCGACATTTGGCCTTTCGCAAAACGGAGCTTCCGTTTCAATCTCACGCACGTGTTGCACACGGCGTGCTCCGACGGCTTTCTGAACCTTAAATATCCACCTCTCACACCTGGCCCCAGAATTTTGTTCGCGACCCGCAGGAAACAAGAGAATGAGGCTGGCTCCTCGTTGGAGATTGAAGTGCAATAGGCCCTGTACTCATAAAACATCTCTGTGCGGCTACCATGTTGCAAGCTCCGTCTTTCTCCTTTGAAAAAGCCAGGCCCAATGAGGTGGACCTCAACATCGGAGTTGTAAGTGTGCAGTGACCCAACGAGGGAGTTGACAGAGCGGAGCACTTCTTCCTCTTGGCTTTGGGTTGGAAACGCCGTCTCAATGGAATTGCGCTCCATTTGGCAAGTCTTGAAACCTTTCACAAAGTCAGTAGGTAAGAATTCAGCCGACGAGTGGTACACGTACCACAAGTACTGCACGACGCTTCTCCATTTCTGCCCTGTTTCTCCAACCAGAGCAAACCCCCAGGCTGGATGTCTGGGCGGTCTTTGTCGGCATTTCATGGTGTAGACTGCCTCGCCATTGCGCAGCTTTTGCAGAACGGTCTGCCCCACTTTGAGCAGCCGCGCGCACGCACGTGCGCAAACAGTCTTGTCCAGGAAAGTTAAGCGGTCACTTCGCCTGGGTGTGTATGGTTTCCGACATCCCTGTTCAATGTCGTCATCGGTAGCCTTCAAAATTGAATCGTCGGACCCAGAAGCCAAACACACACTGCTTTCATCAGAAACGTCAAACTGCGCTTCCGATTCCTCAAAGGGAACAACGATGTCACCTCTGACGTTGAATTCATCTTGCCTTGGGCAATTGAAAGTCCTCCTCAGAAATGCCTCCTTCAGGAGTGGTTTGCGCTTTTCACGTTTGTACTCATCCGGCTAGATTGCAGAATAAGAACAGCTTTAGCTAAAAGATTTAGTATAAGTTCCCAATCTATTTGTAAATGCCTTTTATGGATTTTTCTTTGTTCATCCATTTCTTGACTTCTTTGATCATTCCAGGATTCGTGGGTGTTTTTTGTTTTTGTCGTGTATGTTATTCTACACTGTTCTTTATCTATTGTTTGCTTTGGATTTGTTGTTGCACGGGGGGACCCAAACATGTTAGTTGTGGTTATAGTAGGTGATTTGAACATTCAACCAATAATTTTCCAGACATGTATATAGTTTATATCTGTTTTTCATTTTCTTATCCTAACTATTATACATCTCTTAAAAAATTGTACTTTTTATGCGCCAGTGATTGTACGCAGTTCTTTTATCCTAATAACCGTTTCTGGTCCTATTGAGTGCTACGCGTCCGTCCATTCCTCCACGCCCATCGACCCAGCCGCTCGTCGTTGGTATGATTTACCTTTAAAAACGTTCTGGCACCCAAGCCTTCTCGTGAGGCGGCAAACATCGAAACTCTTCTCGCTTGCGCTGAACTCGGTCAGGTTCATTGCGAAACTGTTTAAAGCAAACCCGTAGCTGACATTGGCATTCTTGCCGGAGAAAGCCTAAATCCCGCGGCAAGTGTGGCTCAGCTGCATCGCGATGTTCCCCATCAGAATCCGAGGCTAAAAGCATCAACACATGGAACCCCCATTGCCGAATACAATAATAGTCTAATGTATAATAGAAAATAGCACTGCCCGTAAACTTGAATTCCTCGCAACCGTCATGTGTTTTAATGCTGCTTCTGTGCCATAAAACCACGCCGGTCAACGCAACGAGATTGAATGGAAGCATCTCCTATCACAAACTCCCAAGGTCCATTAGGTAGGTAAAATCGACCACTTTGAAGCTCTCCAATCACGAGTCCATTGCAAAACAACTTGCAACGCGACCAGTCACAACACTTGTCCCGGCCTCTCACCGTTCGAAGCGGGCTTCCGCTGGGTAGCGGGGCGCTTTGCAGGTTTCGAGGCCGGCCGCTTCTTTGCAGCCATTGCAAAGTGTTGTGCCAAAGGCTGATACCGAACAGTGACAGGTTGAATCAAGTTGAAATAAGAGTGTTTTGCTTTTTCAAGGCTCAACTGCTTGGCATAGACCCTGAGAACTATCGAGCAAGCTGACTGTGGCTTGGAAACACGTCAGGCGAACGTCATCGACCAGCTCGGGCGCAGGCGGCCTGAAGCAAGCGCTTGACAGTAGTAAAATTGTGGCAGGGTGGGGCTAAGAAAACTAAAATCAACGAAAGGATTCGATGAACTTTAGCCTTTAGTTTGGTGGAAGAACATGGGATAAGTCTGCCCAAAAAAGAACAAGCAAGATCGCATTGTTTTTTGCAATCATTTGATACTTCATCATGGCACGCCTGCTATGGAAGGAAGTCGCCACGATGTTCTTTGGTTCGGCCTCAGGTCTGGCCCATGTTGCCCTGACTTCTGCACATGGAACGCTGTGTGGCTGCAGCCTCCTGGTACAAACGTATCTGGTAGTAGGTGGCCTGCGAAAAGCTAATTGACATGTTTTGACTCTGAAGCCTCATGGCCTTTCACGTCCAATCAGCTTATCAAACAACTTGAAAAGAATCTGAAAGCAAAGCAGCATCAGCATTGGTTCATGAGTGCATCTCCGAATCTGAGCTCTGCAACGGATCACAAAGTCCACACACTGCTACGAAGCTTGTTACGCTTGCATTCAACTTCATATGCTTGTGTATCAAAATTATGTTTGCCATGCTCAAGAAAAGAGATCCACGCGTGAACCTCTGGCCTAGCCCGAAAGTATTGTAGCTCAATGGGACCACGTTGAATCTCCGGCGGCGGCGGCCACAATATGGTTTTAGCGTCTAAGCATGTAACATGTAAATGACAATTAGCCACTAAGATTTTGCAATGATCTTAGGAAGACTGACAACGTGTAAGATTGCAAGTGGCCCTCTTTCTGGATCACCATGGCGCTGGACAGAAGCCTGAAAGCGAACGGCCGCTCTGCGCAATCAGTTGTTGAAAAATGCAATCAGTCTAACATCTTTGTCTGTCAGTCAGTCTGCCCAACTGCCAATTGAAATTCACTTGCTAACATCCGTGCTTGACACAAATTTCCCAGCAAAAGCGACAGGCGCCCTGAGAATACTTGAGGCTAAAGCCATTTCGAATTTCAAGAACAAGCGTCCTCGTCTCACAGCCTAGGTGGTTTTTGCCGGGGCGCGGCCGTATCTGCAACAGACAGTGGCTTGCTGCAAAAAATGTTTTGTCGTGCGTGGCCCCAACTCCTGAGTGGTGTCGCATCCTTCGTAAACACCTGCCCCTGCCACAAAGCAACTTCCGACTGTTGGAGATGATAATTGTGCATTTTCGGGTTCTTTGGGCCTTGGAGTAGATCTTGGAAAGGCAGCCACGGCCTCACTGTTTGTGAAAACAAGGCCGTATTCGATCCAAACGTTCAATGTTCTTTGTTGCACTGAGCCCAGTGACTCCCCTTTAGCTAACTTCGCTGGTCTGGGGCGCTGGCGCATGGTGACGCGCTGACGCGGGCAACCCCGCGAGGAAAAATGACACAAAATTTGCTTGGTGATGCTTGGTGGCAATCATTGCCAGGAAGGACGGCAGAAAATGTCTTGCGCGCCACAAAACATCCAAAAATAGTTACGCGCGTCGCTAGCGCGCTTCTTCACATACAAAGCTGCTTTTTACGCTTCATTCAAACCAATCACAAGCACGTCCGTCCACCCCGTTTGCGTTGAACAACCTGTTTTACTTTGCACTTCAGTCCACCCAAGTGCCTAGTTTATGCTTTGCCTGTTGGTTGACATTGAGTCACTTCAAAACAAAAGCTCATGCCCCTTCACGTCACAAGCATGTCCGTCCACTCCGTTTGCGTTCAAACACCCCCCTTCGCGTCACGTTTGTCTTTGTCAACTTTCCTCCAGTAAGGGCATCAAGTGTTCTAAGTTTGCTTGGGGGACGTTTGGAGAAGTTTCTATTTAAAAACAAATCTCTTGTTGGTATGCACTCTTGCTGGACATTCTTGCTTGACACATGTCATGTGCAATGATGGTAGCGGATCTAGAAGAACCTTCTGCGCAACAATGCTAGCAAAAGGCTCCGAAGGCCAGCCAGAAGGCCAAAACACCCAGTCCCACGAAAACACCCACTGAGGTGAAAGTAGGTTTCCATCGACAGCCGGAGTAGCCGCCGTCGCTAAAGACGTCGTTCCCCGACCACGCGATGAAGATGATCACCCTGCGGCCGTTATACTCGATCTCGTTGCGAGCGACCACTTCCTCCGTCAGTGCGGCCGCTTTGGTCAGCAGATCAGCGAGTCCGCCGCCCCAGGCCATTGCCGTCGTCAAGGTCGACATCCAGGGCAGCTTCTTCTTGCTGATCAAGTCCCCCACATTGATCGTGGAGTATTGCGGCTTCTCACCGGGAGGACCCGGCTCATGGGACACCAAAGCAATGCTTGAGTCCCCGACCAAGATAACATCGGCCTCACCTTCCGGTGGGCATGGAACATCAACGAGGCAGCACTCAGGAACCCGCTTCATCAAATCGACGAAGTTCCCGTACACCTCGCGGTTGTTCCCGCCCCGGATGGTGGCGGACAGCAAATCGCCCAAGTTCTGGCGAACAGAACCGATGGCCTTGATGCGCTGCTCAGGGTCCGTGAAAGCACATGACCTTGGGCAGCCTCCAGTATGTGCAACCTTTGGGCCATTCGATTGCGATTGTGATCGGCTCATCAATGCTTTCGATGGTGGCCACGAAGGATTTCCATAGCTTGTTGAACTCTCGGACATGTCTCCGAATTCTTGCTTTGCCAGAAGGCATTTGCTTGTTCACGTATTGCCATGCGGAACCCCCCGTGCACGGAAGACTAGCCCAAATCATTACATCATTTGGCTTGTGTGTTCTAAGGAATTTCTTGATTCCGGTTTTGATGCGTCTCTGACAGGCTGGACTGTTCAGGTTGTCCTTTTCTGTACCCTCATAACCTTGCACCCTAATGCTGCCTTTCTTGACATGTCACCAAGCTTTGACCTCTGGGCTTCAGGCTCGGCTTCAGGTTCCCCTGAGCTGTACTCCTCCTTCGATTCTCCATCGCCTGAACGGGCGATGGCTGCATTCCGAGTGGGAGCACGGAGACTGATAGCCATGAGCTTAACAGCTCTCTTCCACTTGTCAGCATTGGTGAAAGGCTTTGTCAAGATATCGGCTGCTTGCAAGACTGTTGGCCCATGCACTAACCTAAACCATTTTCGCTTGAACTGTTCTGCAAGCCAGGATAAGTTGACCCTTTGAGTTTTGTCTGTATGTCGGAATGATGGAGATTTCCCTGACTCAAGGATTCGGATAGTAGCTTGATTATCTTCCACAAATACACCTTGAATTGAGCTTGGAGAGAACATGCTCACCAGCATTGACCCTTCGCGCTCAGTCCCAAGGAATTCCCAATCCGTGAGAGCCTCTCGAATCTCCTGGCCTTCAACCCTGTAGTCCACATCATTCGGACCGTACACCCTGAACATCGTGCGTCCAGTCCATGGTTCGTCCGCTGGGTACTCCCCCCGTGCTCTCCAGTTATCTTGGATCAAATCTAGGGGTTTTCCTTTTCGTGACATGATTGTAGTCCTGGCCATGCCCAATCTCTCGATGGGGATGAAACAGTCCTTGTCCACGGACGGAACGAACAAATGACTTCTTGGGTTCGGGTTGACATATGACAGACATCTTCGACTTGGGTCATATTCCCAGAACTCCCCGTGCTTGTTAGGACTTGTCGTGACTTTCTCCATAGGTAGTTGTCTCGGCAAGCCTTCCGGCTTGCAATTCTTCCTTCGTGCGTCGCTCTGAATGCCCCCCCGCGTTCTGGAGGTGCATCCATAGACCGGAAGAAGGCAACCCGACAGCACGTAGAGATACATTTGCAGCAACTACCTCTGACTCCGTGCTAGACATGCTAACGGATGTTTGCTTTTTGCTAAATGCCGTGAGTGGATATAGTAGGTGTTTGGACCTACGAGAACGAGAAAACATCCACTCGTACTCCTATTATCGTATTCTCCGGCGTGGTCGGCATCGGCAAATATCCATAATTTGCAGTCTGCTACTTTGTCGCCGACATATGCGGTCATTCGGTAGTCAAGCGTGGAGTGAACATAACAGACCAATCTATGCAAGGCTTTATCGCAGTCCTCTGACCACTTAGTGACTCTAGCAGCCAGGCCTTGAACTGCTCTGAGAAGATCAAATCGAGCCATTCTCGCAGCAAAAAGTACCTTCATTAAAACTCACGCTGTGATGGGGGCTAGAACCCCTTTGGCTTCTTTCTCGTCTTGTACCGGCCTTGCAATTCGTTCATCGTGGAACGGGGTTGTCACCTGTTTCAACTTCAAGGCTTTGTCCCCTGCCAACTGAACGTATCGGTCCACACATGACTTGAGAAAAGGCTTCATGTCATATGTTACTGAGTTCACTGGTTTCATCATACATGGTTCACTCTTGCTATTGAG